TTCCCAAAAAGAGATAGCTTCATTCCTATAGTAAGTCATAGCTAATAATAGCATCAAAATCAAATGACCATATTTCATTTTCAAAGCATGCATCTTACATGCTACAGTATCTGTTGGCTAGTTTACATGATATGGCTTTGTTGTGAAAGCTTGTATACAGCAGCTACAAGTACCAACATGAGTCCAAAAAGGGCACAGCACAATTATAAAGCTGCAGACAGTTATTCTAGATAATCTTAATCTAATGATGTAAATAAATTATTACTCAGTAAGTAAACCGGAAAGTCTACATTTCCTCACTGTCTAAGCACATCATGTACTGGCTGCAGGGCGGAACCGCCTGAGAAAATGGACTGCTGTAATCTCCTCTAATCCTCAGCACCAGAGAAATGCCCTCAGTGTACACACACACACACACACACACACACACACACACACACACACACACACACACACACACACACACACACACACACACACACACACACACACACACACACACACACACACACACACACACACACACACACACACACACACACACACACACACACACACACACACACACACACACACACACACACACACACACACACCACACACACACACACACACACACACACACACACACACACACACACACACACACACACACACACACACACACACACACACACACACACACACACACACACACACACGTGAGCATATTCACGTTCAACACGTAAGTGACTTTGGATCTAGTTCGTAATAATAGAAGAGAAGTGAAAAAAGGGTCAGACTAAAAGAAATACAGGACTGATCAGATAAGTACAGCCACCCACAATTGCTATGCTGCTATTTTAATCCCCCCTGCTTATTTCTGTGCTCCTTAGGATTTATCATTAATTCTATAACACATAGGTTTGAGCAAGCTCTCTGATTGGTCAATAGGCGTGTTTGATTCCACGATCAAACAACGATCAAATAGAACGTGCCTAATCACAAAGTATCCAGTGGCCTACACACGCCACTAGCCTACCGAAACTACTTCCATGAGCCTACATCGTGTGGTTTCCATAGTGACGTTTAGCGACACACAGCCGTTACACTGTTATACATTGTCTCTCGTTGGAAATCGGCCAGAGAAATCATGTCCGTTAGCAGACATAAAAACGAGTCATTGCTTCGCAGCTACTGGGCTCCATCTCTAGACAACAGCAAGATGTGGAGCAACGCGCTTTTTGCCGGTCCGGGACACGCCATGAAACGGCCACTGGAGGAAAGCTCTTCCTATAACGTAGTCCTACCCGTGAACACCACAGCACCACCTGCAAACAAGTCTGGCATGGAGTTCATGGAGAGCTGTTTCAAGAATTGCACTTTTAATGGCAGCATGAACATCCACCTTCATTCTGAACCCAAAATGTTTCAGCACCATGGACAGCCTGATTGGATTTGTTCCGCTAATCCCACGCAGTGATTACTCAGATATTTAAATAGCCTAATTCAAGAATTGTTTTCAATAAATTGGTTAATAATATATTATTTACTATAATTAGGCTATATCAATAACTGTAAGCGGGGTAGCAGGAGTGTTCGATTGATCGGCTATCGTTACCATGGGAACTACTTTCTAGGAACTACTTTCTGACGGAGATTAACTCAAGCAGAAAGCGTAGGTTTGGGAGCAAATTAGCCACATTATGAAATTATTTTACGATATTGTTGATTACAATGATAGTTTGTGTAATAGAATCGCAATCATACACTTGAGGCCGTTCTTGAACGTCATTATTGGTACGACAGTACTGCGGCAGGACCGAGGTCCGTACGCCTGTACTGGAGTCATCAACAATATCGTAAAATAATTTCATAATGTGGGCTAATTTACTCCCAAACCTACGCTTTCTGCTTAATTCAAGTTTCTTTGATTGTTTCTTTTCATTTAAAAGTCTGAGTGTCGTATCTGTGATGCTATTCAATGATGACTATGCTATAACACCCCTTGTTGTGAGATACAAATGATGTGCAATATATATATATATATATGTTGTTAATAACTGTGCAATATATACCTGGCTGCTATAACTTCAAAACGGTTACAGATGTATATTTAGTCAATTGTGTAATTTTTGTTTTATGCATGCTTCCTAGCTGATATGAAGCTATCTTTGGCTCTTTTCTGCTTTAACACATGTGAATGTCCCCTCTGTGGGAAGAATAAAGGTATTCTGTTTGTTTCAATTGTTTCAATTATTTGGCCAGGATAATCGTTACATTAATATTCATTCAGTCTGACGGTTTAAATGTCTCAATGTCTTCCCTTCTTCCCCTCTCACAGGGTACAACAAGCTGCTGTTCAGCCATTTGAAGGAGGAACGTTGAACCAAACGACTGAGCAAAAACATAAAGACAAGAGGGATAAAAGAGAGGGAATGACAGACTAACGCAGAGGGGGGAGGGGGGGAACACTAAGCTGCTGAAGAGAAAGAAAGGTGGGGGAAAAGTGTGTGAGAGAAATCATTAATCTGTCTGTGTGTGTACCTGCGCTGTGTATATATCGGTGTGCACTCACATCTGTTTGTGTGTGTGTGTGTAGACTGCATGTCTACTTTCCAAGGTCACTGCTGAGAGCTAGGAGGGGGGGGGGGGGGGGGGAATTAACAAGACCAATGGACAATGACGACGTTAGCCCTGCAAGAAAGACTGCTCTTAAAGGGGCAGCTCCGTCAGGACACAGGTTTGCAGGGGAAACTATATTCAGACAAGTAGAGGTTTTATTCATTCATTATCTCAGATGTATCAGAGGCATGCAGGGATCACATCTGCGTTTTGAAGCAGAACTGGCAAAAGCTAAGCTAATAAGAAAAGAAATAGCCAGAAGCAGTGTGTTTGAGAGCATGAACTGCTCTAGCCTTCAGTAGCACACACACTCTGTGTTAGCCTGCACTCACGTTGAGAAATACCCGGCAGTATCTCAATACAAAGCCTCTCAGGGGGTTTGAGGCGACAAAAGGCTTTTCATTAGTGAGCTATAGACAGAGGATGAACGAGGAGGTCCAGGTGTGTCTCCGTGCTTAGAGGACACAATCCAGACAGACAGACAGGCAGGCAGACAGACAGACAGGCAGGCAGGCAGGCAGACAGACAGCTGAGCAGACAGACAGACAGACAGACAGGCAGGCAGGCAGACAGGCAGGCAGACAGACAGACAGACAGGCAGACAGACAGCTGAGCAGACAGACAGACAGACAGACAGACAGGCAGGCAGGCAGACAGACAGGCAGGCAGGCAGGCAGACAGACAGGCAGACAGACAGACAGACAGTCAGACACACAGACAGAGAGACAGACAGACAGACAGACAGACAGACAGACAGACAGACAGAGAGACAGACAGACAGACAGACAGGACAGACAGACAGACAGACAGACAGACAGACACACAGACAGACAGACAGACAGTCAGACAGACAGACACACAGACAGACACACAGACAGACAGACAGACAGACAGACAGACAGACAGACAGACACACAGACAGACACACAGACAGAGAGACAGACACACAGACAGACAGACAGACAGACAGACAGGCAGACAGACAGACAGACACACAGACAGACAGACAGACAGTCAGACAGACAGACACACAGACAGACACACAGACAGACAGACAGACAGACAGACAGACAGACAGACAGACAGACAGACACACAGACAGACAGACAGACAGACAGAGAGAGAGACAGACAGACAGACAGACAGACAGACAGACAGACAGACAGACAGAGAGACAGAGAGAGAGACAGACAGGCAGACAGGCAGGCAGACAGGTTGTGAATGTTGTCAATTGCTCGGAGAAATCAGACACCTGAATGAATGCCAGAAGCTAACAGCTCTGCAGATTGATGCAGATTCTCAAACCAGATGGTTAAAGCTTTAACAACATCACTTTTTTTATCCGCAAACAGCAGCCATCCGTCATCCACCCATCGATCTCTTTCCCTCCCTTAGCATCCCTCCATCCTCTCCCCCAGCTCGTACCGTCTCTAAATCTTTCCTTCCATCCATCCAACCATCCATCTGACGTATGCTCTCTTTTCACCTTCTTATATTTCTATTTCCATCAGCCTTCCTTGTTCATTTATCTTTGTTTTCAAGAAAAAGAGCTGCTTTCTAGGGCAGAAAGTCTGATGTTGTAAATGTGCAGGTAGACAGTGATAAGCTTTATGTACATATTCCCGCTCATACACATGGTGGTGTACATGTCAGCTGAAAAGAGATCAAACGGATGGCTGAACTCATTTGATACTTTTCCTACTGACCCAGAGGTCAAGCCATTCATAAACTCAACACTCTTTCTGTTCCCATCCTGTATGATAACAGAGAGATCACAAACCTGGAAGTTTGACACAAATACACAGTATTTAAACTGCAGTGCCCAGGACGCACACTAAGATGAGCATGTGCAACAGATGACGTGTGTGCAATCTCAGAGTAATCAGCAGGTTTCCACCTCTTCCTGTGTGTCTGTACGAGTTAGAAAGTCTGAAATGAGAACAGGAAGTCTAAGTGTTTTCTATTTCCACAATGGCCTCAGATGGTGTCTGTATTCATGGACAGTTGTAGTACTCCGCAGCCTGATAGATACAGCGGACAGACAGTGAGAGGCTTGGAAACACTCGGCCCTGGCTATTTTGTCAATCTTTTTTTCATTTACTATCCGACTGTTCATCATCTGCTATCTGCATCTGCTGAGCCTAACCCTAACCCTGGACTGAATGACCACAGACAAAAGCTGTTTTTCCAGATGATATGTTACATTACATGTTAGACGCTTTTATCCAAAGCGACTAACATACTCAATACTGTGGGCAATCCCCACAGGAGGTGAAGTGTCTTGCCCAGGGACACAACGACATGCTGACTGCAGAGGGTTTTGAACCTGCTGTGACCCCCTGATCCGAACACCTACGAACAACCCACTACGCCACACGCCTCCATATGTGACTGACCTGAGAGTAGAAATTAACCATGGTGGTGGTTTCTATGTCCTTCTTTCCCAGTATTTCCATTTTGACTGGAGCGGTTGGGAACTTGCTTGAGAAGTAGTCCAAGAAGTCCGGCAGGTAGCTGGCTTCTCCATGGACGATCCCCATCACGTAATGAGCTGCCTGAAAAACAAGGACAGTAATACAATTTAAACTTATATTGTATAAATGTACTAAGGGCCCTTTTACAGAGACGTCTTAAGCCTGGTCCGATCTCAGTTGAGGAGGACATTTAGGTTTGTTTGTATTACACAACATGTTTCCATAATGCTTTTACTTTGGATAGGAATTGAGCTATTACAATAACAAACTGTCCTAATTATAGGATTTAGGAATCCTAAATTAGGACGGCAGAGTCCTGCAGAACGCACAGCGCTCCTGCCAGTGGTTGTACAGATCACACATGCACTATAATAAGAGATACGGGCCATTCTGCTGTGCATTTTGAACATGAATACAGGCATGACAGGGCCTAATGAACAAGCTCATTTACAGCTGTTGTTTTATACGAAAAGAAAGGAGGACTGAGATATGATAGGACACAGCCATGAGTTTTAGAATTGCTTCTGTGTTGGGAAGATAAGACTTTGCCTATCTTTGAAACGATAAGATAACACAAGCAGAACACTTTTCTGTAATGAGGCCCCTGGTGAATATCTGACTCTGTCGTACCTGCGATGAGTCCTCGCTGAAAGACAGGGTGACAAACTCCTGGGCGAACCTCTGCATCTGGCCCGGGGAGAGGGAGGAGAGCTGGGAGGTGTAGGCGTGGGCCACCAGGGCCCCCCCGTTCGGCTGCTTCTCTATGTGGATGTACGGGGCAAACTCCAAGCCCACCATGCCGGGATAGCTGCACTGATGCTGGGGTTGGGTCGGGGTCTTTGACGGAGAGTTGACGGAGTCGAGGAGGGCGCAGTTTGAGAGAGATTTGGGGGTGAGATGAGGAGAGGAAGAGAGGTGTGCAGTTTTGTTGTTGGGTGGAGGGTAAACAGGTAGGGGGGACTTAAATGGAGACAGGGAGGAGTTAGGAGTGACATCAGAGGATGAGGGAGAGGAGTTGGGAGGTGGGGAAGACGAAGGGAGGAGAAACAGGCCGGCACAAATGGTTTGGCAGGAGCGGTGGTACATCTTCACTCGTTTGTGCTTCTCCCCCTCTTTATGTTTCTTCTTCTTTCTCTTCTTCACTTTTTTGATCTGCAGGTCCTCTGGGTTGATCTTGGCCTTCTCTCTTTCATCTGGACAAAGGGGCAGAGAAAGAGACATTACACATTTGAGGGGAAGACAGTTTTTAAAGGAGACGGCATTCTTTAAAGATTAAAAATAGGTCATTTTGATGGATCAACAAACCAGCCCACGGCTCTTTCCATTGCTCGCTGTAAGAAGACAGCGTTTACTGTCCTCTTGCAATGATGAGAGCTCAGAGAAAGCTTTCAGTGAAATGAGGTGAAGTGAAAACAGGAAATCAAGTGCTGACGATTCGTCAAAGCAGGTTATATAGAAGGGCCAAACACAGAACAATTAAATCATTTCCATCATATTGTTGTATCATTTACTTTCACTGTTCTTAATCACCAAACCAAAGTGATATCTGATAGATTCCCTATTTTAAAAAACAATACAGCAAAAGATAATGACTCGTCCTAACTATTGTAGACAGATGACTCATTTCTTCTCCCAGGTGGTGTGTGTCTCCGGGGGTGAATGTAGACAAATCATTTAAGGACTGCAATAGCATCCCTGGAAAAAAGCAGATATGACAAAGCCAGGAAACAACCAGAGGAATATCTGATAAGAGATAATAACGCACATGGTGGACGGTCTCCATGACGCCTGAGGTGTTTAAGCATATGTGTGTGTATGTGTATGTGTATGTGTGTGTGTGAGCTGTTAACATCCATTTGGAAATGTGTTGTGGCTGGTTCATTCTTACCCAGCGGTTGTGTAAACAAGCGGATACATATACATTTACTATGTGTGTGTGCGCATGCGAGTATTTTTGATAGTTGCTGCCTCAGCATAATTCACATATCCGCTATCATCACACACACACACCCACACACTCTAGTTTGTACCTCACACACGTCCGACACAAGATAAGGCGGGAATGAGACAGGATGAAAAAGAGCAAAGGAGCACCGTGTGTGTGTGTGTGTGTGTGTGTGTGTGTGCACGCTTGAGACAGCAAGAAGATATTTGCAGTACAATACCTAAGCTACACTAGGCACCCCTCCCCCAATTATATATTCTCGCACACAGAAATATTTTTTTAAGTGTTTTTTGTGCTCAACATGGCGACAAGAGAAGTGCAGCCATGTGAGTAAAATATAGCTAAGCTCAAAGTTGAATTTAAATGTCGATTACTGGTTCCTTAGTAATCATTTGTCTAAACCTATGATTGAACATTTATTTGTCAGTATCTGATTAAAATTGGCAAAAAATAAATAGACGTTATCGTAGACAGACGTATTGCAATCATCGTTTCTGTCGTATGAGAAAGCTTCACTAACAATTGTCTTTATTATCAATGAATCTGCCAATAGTTATGTTTATTCACGTCTACACAATGTCAGAAAATGTTCTTGTTTTGTTTGACTAACCGTTCAAAATCCAACAATGTTTAAATCTGAATGATATTAAACAGAGACAAACAGCATACCTCACATTATACAATCCAAATGTGTGAATTTAATCACAGAGCAAATGATTAAAGTGATCACCTATCAGATGTTTTCATTACCTTCTTGTATTGATCGACTATGATTGACCAACATTAACTAGCAGCACCCCTGACAGGAAATATCTCCCTGTTCAATCTCGAAAAACAAGAACAATGAAGGGAAGATTAACATCAACAAAAGTTCCATCATTTGGGTTCACGCTTTAAAAACATTTAAAACATGGTGGATGTATTTTCCTCTGACATTTAAAAAACAACGCCCAAGTGTGTACAAACCGGGATGTCACCTCTTTGCTCACACACAAACACACCCATTTGTATAAGAGCGGACCACATGGCTCAACAGTCGCTGTAAGGTCAGATAAGTGACAAATAAAAACACACACAGCGGGACACACACACACACACACACACACCACCTCAGAGTAGTAAAGCAGCCCTGCAGTCAGAATAGCTGCTTGCTGTGTATTGATTTTCTATACAAGTTTCCTCGGGGTGCCTCTCTCTGTCGTCATTTCCAATTGTAAACTTAACACTCTCTGATTAAATGCCTCACTCAGTTTAACTGAATATCTACTCTGTGGTGGGGAGAGACTCCCTCTTGATTCCCACCATGGATCCTGCAGTGTCTCTTTTATTGTACGAACACAATCACATGCTTGTCTCTCTGGCAGGACCACTTTATCAGCCTCTCCCTCTCATACTGCGAATATGTAATGCCGTGCCAAGGACGCTTGTCCACCTCACATTCAGTTTGAAGGTTTAAAAGGTGAGCTGAATTATCAAAGGGATTTACATCTGCACCCTTCTGTGGCTTCACCGGGGCCTTCACCGGTCACAGGGGGATCATGGCACACCAGCACAGAGAAATGCTGTGAGTCTGACTAAAGCTCTAGGAGAATTCAGGATAAAATGGCAACCATGTCATGTCGGATTGTTGTGTGTGTGCATGTCTGTTTCAAAAGGGTAATGTCAAATACAGAGAGAGAAAGGGGGGGAGGAAAATTAGACGGACATGAGCTCACACCGCTCAGCAAATAATTCACTGCGGTCGAAAGGTTAACAATGAAACTCTCCAACATACACATGAAACACTAGCATGGCACACCTGTAGGGGGACTGGCCTTTCTCCTTTCTGCTTGTTTATGCACACAGACATCATGATTGTTTTTTTAATCAAGGTTTAAAAAGCTTTAATGTAGCTGACACTCGGGACATAATTCACCATTGTCTTTGGTTAAACACTAGCATATAACTTCAGAGCCTTTTCTGTGATGATTAACCTTCACACTAAAACATCACTCATGTTCTGAAGTCTTTACACTGGCTTCCTGTGTGTCAAAGAATTGATTTTAAAATAATGCTGCTGGTTTATAAAGCTTTGAATGGTTTAGGCCCAAAATACATTTCTGACCTCCTGCTAAATGATGAACCATCCAGAACTCTCAGGTCTTCAGAACTAAACATGGAGACGTTCAGTTATTATGCTCCAAATATCTGGAACAAACTAGAAACCTGCCGGTCCGCTGCAACTCTGACTACTTTTAAATCCAGGCTGAAGACTTTTCTTTTTGCCGCTGCTTTTAATTGAACTATTCATATCTTAAGCTGCACTGTACATTTTATCCATGTATTTTTTCGTTTAATGTTGATTTGATTATCTTTGCTTTTTAATGACTGATTTTAACCAGTTAAGCCCGAAGGTCCCCCCAGTGGACCCCTCCCACAGTTTTTTTTTTCTCACATGTGTCAGGGCTTCTTATCATTTATGAAACTATTAATGTTTCATACCCTTTTAAAGGTAAGAAACTCCGCTTACTGACAATAAGAACAATTGTTAGCTAAAAAAAACACAAGAGTAATACCAAGCCTTTGAATTAGCATTGAGCGAAAAAATGCTAACTAATGCTAACGCTTTTTTACACACAACACACGGTAGAAATGCCCTTATTACTATCTTAACTTCACAAACAAGATATACGATTTAAAGCTGAGACTCCACAGATTCCACACATGTAATGTCATCACTGTCCGACCTCGAATTCCTGGAGCTATCAGCCAGAAAAGAGAAAGTAAACAACATCCGGTTCCAAAAATATTACAATAATTACGTCTTACCTTTTTTGATTTGTGATCAAAAGTTGTGTTCAACGGAATAAAAACGCATCTCAAGGTTAATCCAATGTCTTTGTGTCACGTATAATTTTTTACTGATAATCAATCATCATATTTATGGCAATATACTCGGTATAAAGTATTTCCGTCCAGTCTTGCACTTTCAGATATGCTTCGTTTGGTTCTCTATTACGTCCACTATGGTAATGTTTACGTAGATTTGGGAACTGCCCATCGATTCTATTGGTTCTGATGGTTAAGAAAAAGGTGTAAATCACACGAATCGACCAATGGGTTCCAGAGATATGGTCCTGCGCAAATTATAAAGAATTCCAGCCAGCGTGCCAACATTACGCAGCCCACTTCATTTATTGTTTACAGCGTAAAGAAGCAGGTATTGCAGCAGGACCCAGAGCGCACGGAGCACAGAGCGGACAGCAGATAACAGAATTGCAGTTTTATTGCTTATAGATTATCAGAACATTTCAAAGGGGACACAGCCCCATTGGATATTAATCTATGGATTAACTACATCATCGTTTTTATCGTTTTAATGCCATTGAAGACCAGTTTAGACCAGACAACGAGGAAGGTAAGTCATTGTTAGCATAGCGCATTAGCGCTAGCGCCATTTGTTTTGATGTACGTTTTTGTTGATAACGTCGCGAGTTTGTATCTTTCAGTGTTGGGCTGTTCAGGTGGGCACCGTTAGATTCTGTGTCTCCTTGCGATCATAAACAATGTGTTGGATGTGCAGCTAGGATAAGTAATAAGGGAGCGAGGAGTGATTTTCGGTGCTGTAATAGGTTAGCATTTTTCGCTCGGGGCTAATTCAGAGGCTCACTGTAAGAGTAAGCCTATGTTTTATTTAATTTAATTTTTTTCACAACAGTTGTATTTGGATGGAATGAATACCTATAGTGATAATTCAAAGTAATAAAATGATTTTTACAGTGAACAAGTTCAAATGGAACCGATGGTTCCCAAATTACCCAGAGGTGAGTCCGCTTAGACTTTATTTTTCTAAATCTCTCTAAAAAGGTCAAATTTAACTTGTTTTGCATCAATCTTGATACAGGGTACTTATATGTTATAGTTTGGATTCCTAAAGCTTTTAGTCTACTAACCCATCATGCAAGGGTGGTTTTCACTATATGTAAAGGTTTTTTTTTTAGGTGGACATTAGAATTTACATGTTTTTACTATGTTCCATCTGAATTTACTTTAAAATAAAAACATCTATATTGATTCTGACACTTCTACATCCAACTCACAGATGTAACCTTGCTTTGAGAAAAATAATTATTAATTTACCCCTTTTAGAAGTGAAGATATATCATTTGTTGTGTTAGTGGCATTTTCGAACCTGAAAAACAGGCTCAGGGCTTAACTGGTTAAATGCCATTTTCTAAATGCTCTTAATGTTTTTCATTTTTGCAAAGC